AACCTGACCCCAAATAAGTGAAGATTGCCCACCAGCTATGTATGATCAGTCACTAGGTTCTCTTGTTGCGCTTCATTTCCCCCCCCAATATACAGCAAAATTTCAATTTAACAGACTTCTATTTAGTGGACTTCAAATGCAATGGATCAGATTTCCATCTGGTCAAGCCCCTCCCCCACCCCAAAATAATGGACAAGTCTATTGCACTTGAAGTAGTTCAGGCACGCTGGTTATGTTAATTTTATGACATCTGTGGCAACTGATGTCGTGACAAAAATTACATAGTTTGGTATTTAATAGACACAACCAGAAATAACAGACACACCCTCCCCTCAATTAGTCCATTAAATCAAGGTTTTACTGAATTGTAAAGATGACTACAATCCCTGTCATGCAACTGCTGAAGGCACAGCAGCAGGGTGATCAAGAGGGCAATTACACTCATGTGATTAAAGCCCTGTCCCATTTTTATGTCTGTTGTATGAGCGAAGGGGCAGGGCTTCAATCGTCTAGTTGCGGCTACCATTTGAACTTTTCTGACGTTCCCCACACACTCTCTGCAAGGTTTGCTAGTGAAAAGAGAAACAAGCAAGCAAACAAGAAACAACTGAAATGCTCTCTTGACTACGTCTCCAGCTTCTTCTTTCTGCCTACCTGCTCTATCACAGGTCCCACGCTGGGCTAAGCCATGATCTCTGCTGGACCTCTCGTGATTCCTTGCTACTGCTGATGAGAATACAGCCGATACATCAATGCCATCATTAGCCAATGTATCAAGTCTACTGTGACCTCAGTTTCCTTCAACGTTTCCACCATGGTCTGAAACTGGATAATATTTGTGATGCCAAAATATTATCCTGGCTCATTGCAGCTGGTGTGTTTTTCCCTTTAACACATTCAACTTGTTCTAAAAATAAATCAGCCCCAAATATAAGCCAGCCAAGTTTTCTAACAACCTGCTCTACTTCTTTCAAATATATATAAAAATACATACAGCCACATCTTGTTGCAGGTGATGTTACCAAGCCAACCCTAATCTGGCAAGAGGTTTATTCATTTGATTCATCATCTTTAAATAAAGATACGTCTCTCTTTTACTGGTGGACTGGCCACAGCAACCTACATGTTGAGGCAAGAACTGCTGTTGTGGGAGAAGGAACAGGAAGCTTTTACTAATCTATTGTTTCTGAAAAGATTATTCTACTTTATTAGAATAGTAATACAAAGAGTAGCTGTATTTGTACATTGGGCTAAGCCATGGTAACCCTTGGTTTGTTGATCAACCCACAGTGGGTTGATTCAACACTAAGTCATCAACCATGTTTTCAAACACAACATGCCCTTTCCAAACCAAACCAACCACATCACGGCTTAGTGCAGAAGTAAATTTGGAGCCAGAGTTACTGGTAATCGACAACCCTGTTTCCCACCATCTGAGGCAAGAACGAGATTAAAATGCTTAACATTTCACAGCTGAGAACAAAAACAAGAACATCTTATGAATACTCCATAGATGAAACACTTAAAAAGAGGAGCCAAAAAATAAGGTGGCAGAGTGGCTTTTTTCTTTGACTTCTACAACTGAGTTGAAATTGGGTCTTTGGCATTTTTCTTAGGAGGGTTTGCATTATTTTTTTGCACATTAACCTTCATCTCAGTTTCTGTTTTGCTTGGTTTGCCTGCTGTAAAAATGGCAAAACTTCAGCAGCTAATGTTACTCAGAAAGGTTGATGATAATCTTAGATCAAGCGTTCCCTTTGCCAGACATTAGAGGTTAAGCATTTATGCCTGCCCTCATCATTTATTGATTTCCACTGCCAGATGACCCAAGTTACCTTCATTTTGGAGGAGCTAAACCATTCTGCATTTGACCCAGGTCGCAACGCTCAGGGGAGTTTGTTGGCCAAAACCCCAGCAAGATGAACTTGGATGGCCAAGAAAAGAACTCTATGTTCCAGAAGCTGTAGGTATCTTCTGACTAAAAGTACATTTTTGAAACTCTACTTTGGGCTAGATTTTAAACAAAACAGTATAGCATATGAGGAGGAAAAGAATATCTTGTATTTGAAAGAAAACACTGGACTGAGTGAATTAGAGAAAGATAAAAAGAGGTTTTATACTCAAGTTGTCTCTTAGCACAGTGCCAGGAAAACAGGGAATGTTTGGCAGGCAGAAAGAAATGGGTAAATAAATGGGTGTAGTGGTTAGAGAAGGAACAAGGACCTTTTTCCAAAGTGTGAGAGCATTTAGTTGGGACACTTACAATATGATTATTATGGGAGCTTTACCTGTTCAAAAGAGAGCCAGTTTGGTGTAGTGGTGAAGGCACCAGGCTAGAAACTGTGAGACTGAGTTCTAGT